GTGTGTGTGTGTGTGTGTGTGTGTGTGTGTGTGTGTGTGTGTGTGTGTGTGTGTGTGTGTAGGGGAGGGAAGGAGTTCTCGTACATTTTGTTTAAAGAAATAGGTCCTCTTCTCCCTCCCCACTAAAGTACATTAATTATCCCATGTCTCTACTCACTGTGCAGTTGTAAATGAGACATGGTGCAAGGAGGTTTTGAAGAGGTGAGTCCTGTTAAATCCTATTTGCTGTGCAAACTCTTTGAGACTTTCCCCAGTTGCCAGAAGGTTCCAGATAGGCCACAGTGGACAAGCAACATACACATGGAGGTTACTGCTCCTACCTGGCTCGTTTGGAGGAAGGTTGGATGTTGGCTGCTTCATTCGGCTTCAGTTTGGGAGGTAATCTCACACCCTGTAATTCAAAGGTTGCCCACTTTAACCAAATCCACCTCCAAGGAGTACAGAAACTTCCAAGAGACCTGAGTCAAATACTCAAACCACCTCACACTCTACCTGTCAGCACTAGGACTGGCCTAGAGTTGCAGGAGCAGAAGCTAATACCCAGAGGGAACCCTGGGTCATTTGTATGCATTCTCTTTTCATTTACCAAATACTCTTGTTCTTTTACCAAACATTCTGCACAGAAGTGGAGTTTGAACTCAAGGCCTCGCACTGGTTAGTCAGGTGCTCTACCCACTTGAGCCACACCCCCAGCCCTTTTTGTTATTCCTTTCTTTCTTTTTTTTTAAAAAGATTATTTTTAAGTAGGCTGCAATTTCCCAAGTCAGGTTATAAGTACAATACGTCTCAACCACTGTCATCCCTTCCATCATTTAGCACAGACTGAAGTTAGGGGGAAACAGAGAAGAAAGAGAAATCGTTCCTGGCCCCCATGCAGGAAGCAGGGGGTGCTCCTGTCATTTTTTGAGTAAAGTCTGTACTTTCCCTAGTCAGGTGGACCACAATCCTCCTTCCTCCACTGCTTGCGCCTCCTCACCCAGCTTTTTTTATCGGCTGAGACAGGGTCTCACGAGCTTTTTGAACAGGCTGGCCTCAAACTGCCATCTTCTCCATCTCTGACTCATGAGCAGCTAGGATTACAGGTGAGAGCCGCCCAGCCTAGTCTCCTGGTTCTGTAACACGTCCTCATCCACGGCCAGGGGCAGGCTCAGGCAGTAATGAAGCTGCCTGTCTTCATGGCAACCTCCCCTCACCCCGTGTTCCAAAGCCAGCCCTCCTCTGGAACTCACTGTCCCAACTTGGAATGGGGAATACAGGCATCTTATTTTCTTTGCAGTTGTCTTAAAAAAGAGATTTCTTAAAACAACTGTCACCTGGAATGTGACCAAAGCACCACCAGCGTGACAATCAGATGAAGAGGGCCACTAAGAGCAGTGAGGTACTGGACTCATAGCACACCTCAGGCGGGGGCCCAGCCAGCTCCAATCCCTGATTGGGGGAGGGGGGGCACGGGCTGGCAGAAGTGTGCCAAGCAGGGGAAGGGGGTAGCGGATTCCGGGGGTGGGGGGCACCTGCACAGCCCATCTCCAGTGTACGCCTCTCGCTGTTCAGTCACTACATGGCCAACTTAAGAGGTTCTTTCCAAAAGATAAGACTGTGTTGGAGTTTTAGCGTCTGGACTGTTGGCTGCTCTAACCGCCAGTCACACTTTAAGCGCCTCCTTCTCTGCCAAGCAGGCGGGAGTATGTCTGCAAGTTCCTTTCCACTCAGAGGACGGAGCTTCTCGACAACCGACAAGGAGGTTTGGGCTGCTTTCCATCATCTGTACAAGATGACTGCCCGACCCAGTTCCAAAGACCACACGTACACCTCCAAATTATAACTCCCAGTAGCGAGAACAAACCGAAGCGGCCCTGGTGAGTTCAACGAGGGAGCGATGCCCACTTTCCCAGCCTCCCTAACGCCTCCCTTGCTGCCCCAGACCTGGGGGCACAGCTGTGTGGGCCCGTGTGGTCACCAGGCGGGCGGTCATTACTGGGTAGCGCAGGGAAAATAACCTCTGAGCACATCACTCCTAAAGAAGAGGATGCAGCCCTCTACTCGTCCTCCACACAGGCAGAGGGCAGCTGCCGGCCGCTGCTGCAATGGGGGCTGGGGCTGCCTGGTCGCTCTGGCAACGCAGCCGCCTGGAGGAAGCTGTCCCGCGTGTGCTTCAACAGCAAAGGCTACGAGAGTGTTGCACAGGCCGTGGAAATCCCTTTTGTCCTCAGAGACGGGGTTTCGCTGTGCAGCCCAGTCTGGCTGGCCTTCGAGTGCCTGGGGACACTGGTACCTCAGCCTGCAGGGTGGCTGGGGTTACAGGTACACTCCACTGCGCCCGACTCTGGAAGCCCGTGTTTTACAAACAAGGATCACATATTTACAAATAAATGTGTGTGCTCCTGAAGCATTCCTGGCCCACTATTCGTGACAAAAAAGGAAATACTGCTTTCCTGAAGTGCAACAAGTAACAACAGAGAAATTCTACAGCAAACAATTATTGAAATGGTCTTGTTGATACCTAAGAAAATACTAATGTACAAAGTCAGAGAGGGCAATGTTTTATCATCTGTGGACAGCCCTCACTCACAAGGGACCACAACTTCCTAGTGTTCATTGGCAAAGTCTCCCACTGGAGACCCCACCCCTTCAGTGTGATGAGACCCCACGGAACTTCGGGAAAGCACAACGAGGGCTGGAGGGCTGGAGTCCACCTCCTCAGCGGACCACACCTCTGCTTCTTAGGGTCCTCAGTTCCTGCCTTGCCAACCCCTGAACAAATACACACTCACAATTCCGGACACAATCACGTGGCTCTCTGAACTAAGTAATGGTCTCACACGTGTCGGTGTGAAGGACTGACATGAACATCGCCAACAGCTAAAAGTAACGAGCAGACCTTGGGCACACCACGTATTGTGTGACAAGTGCGAAGATTCAGCCCTCATTCACCATCACATGACGAATGACAAGAGAAATTGTAATTTTCAAATACAGCCCTACTGCAATTTACTAACACAGTAAAAGCCAAAGTGAGGAATTAATTTGACATACCATCAGTAACTCTGCTGACACTTTCATTGGGATTCTCCAAGCATCTGAAGAGAGAAACACGTTATTTTTCATGGTGACTCACTATTGACACGAAGACCCTTTTTCTGAAGCTGGGAACCCTGGACGTGGGTGCTGGGGTCACAAAGTTGAGAAGGGGCAAATATAAGTACAACACCCAAGTTGAGGAAACCTTTCAAAATGAAGCAGGGAAGGAACAAGACATGGCTCTATGCGTCCACCACTGACTACAGGCCTGCAAGGCGAGAGTGCAGGGTGGTTGGGTGTGTCTAGTAGACAGTCCTGTCTCTAGCACACCGCTTATGAAGAAAGGTCACGAATAGGAAGGACCACACTACACAGGACGGGGCTGGCCAGAGAGGATGGCACGTTGGTGCTGTGGGAAGAGCAGATCTAGGCCAAACACTCAGAGTGGATGCCCTGCAGGACCAGTCCCTCTGGAATGGCTTCAGAGCTAAGGGCAGACCAGCCAGAGTATCGCAGGGATGCAAAGAAAGGTTCAAGAAGAGGAAGAACTTTCTCATGATTACAGTCACCCAAAATTCGGACTGGCCTTCCTTAAGGTAACACCAAATCACATTTGAATGACCTTTCTTGAATGTGTTCCTTTCTGTAAATGCAGAATTAAACTATATCCTATGCATGATGGGGAAGTCCCTCTGGAGGAGCTGGGAAAACGGAAGGCCTAGCCATCTGTGGGCCTAACAGTGTGCTGTCAGGCATGGCAGGGGCAAAGAAGCGCAGTGAGTGTTCTAGTCCGGACATTCTGAGAGCTACCTGGTACAAGGCAAGACCAAAACGAACGCTTAGTGCTCACTGCAAGCTCCAACCTCAAACCAACAAAAAGCCTTGTCAAGCTGAGCATCAGCGGCTCACGCCTGGAATCCTAGCTACTCAAGAGGCTGAGATCTGAGGAACATGGTTCAAAAAGCCAGCCAGGTAGGAATGTCCATGATTTGTATCTCCAATTAACCACCAAAAAGCTGAAGTGGAGCTGTGGCTCAAGTGGTAGAATGTCAACCATGAGTGAAAAGGAAAAGGAACAGCACTCAGGCCCTTAGTTCAAGCCCCAGTACACACACACACACACACACACACACACACACACACACACACACCTCTCTCTAGTGGTAGAATGTCAACCATGAGTGAAAAGGAAAAGGAACAGCACTCAGGCCCTTAGTTCAAGCCCCAGTACACACACACACACACACACCTCTCTCTCTCTCTCTCTCTCTCTCTCTCTCTCTCTCTCTCTCTCTCTCTCCTGGGCAGAGAAGGTAAAGGAAATGAGAACTAGGTAAAAACTTGTCATCAAGCCTGGTGTAAACAAGGGAAGCCTCACTCACCCAGAAGACTGAGCACCAGGTGCTGAGTGGGCGCGAAGGGGTCCTGCAGGTTGAAGGCCGTGTACCGGCTGCACTGGACCTGCCTCAGAGCTTCCAGGTTCCCCAGCAGGATGTCTCCCAGCCACTGGGCGTTCACACACGGGATCCTCCACTCTTTGGCTTTTTCGTACTTTAAACCACTTGGTCTTTTTTGGGAGGAGAGACCACAGAGATTAGACATTAGTGCTACACACACACACACACACGCTGAAGCCACATTTACTTTCAACATGAGCCAATTGAAAACATTCCTGGGAGAGAAGCAACAGGCTTGTCTTAGAGGGGTGCTGAGAGACCTGGCTGTGGCTAAGGGTATTTCAGAGCTCAGCTGGGCTCATGGGACTACCTGCCAGTCTCCCTTTCACCTCATTCCCATTACCTAAACTTGAGTTCCAACTCACTAATTGTTTACTTCACAGGTATCTGTGCTAGTGTCTCCATAACCAGAAGAGCCACTCTTTCATTACACTCTGATTTCTATGCAAAAGAGGGCCCAAGGAGACTGTTCCCAAGTATGAAAACACAGCAGTGAAACCTGTTCAAATTGCTTTAGGAAGGGGAGGAAGAGGGATAGAGGCCCTGAGATGGTTGTAGTACACTCTATATACACGTGTAAAGATGAGCACAATTCCCTCAGCGTAAGTAGTAAGAATACATTAGTTAAATGGGAAAAAAAAAGAAACAGAATCACTGAAATAGTCCCTCTCCTGTGTGTTGATTTAAAATGAAAACTGGTTTCAAAGCATGCTTACTCTTTACAGATGAGGACGGTGTTGCTCCGGCACAGATACCCTGTGTATTTGGCACCAGCCAAATATGCCATCAACTTCAAGTCATCTCTGTCATTATCAACAAACCCAGTCACAGAGATGATCTATGGGGAAAGAAGAGGAAATCATTAAGAAACATCACTTCCTCTCTCCTCCTTCTTCCAACACACCCACACACACACCCACACACACCTGTGCAGTGTGTACCCATGTGTGTATTTCTACTATTCCTTTCACATCATGACACATACTTGGCAATATCATTTCCATGAATGTCAAAAGGAGAATTTTACAATAGTTAAATGTTGTACACAGAGCTCTTGATGGGGGAAGGAAAAAGAATAAACATGGGCTGCCAAATGCAAAGCACTGCTGAAACAAAGTGTAATGACACCATCCACATTTTAAGGTCTTTTTTTGTTCCTTCATTTTCCTTTACGATCGTGTACATGGGAGAGTGTACTAGTATTGACCACGTTCTGCTTTTAGGGTTTGGAAGACTTTGGCGAATCCATTAAATATCTGCCGTATTCTGGGGAATCAGAGGAACTAAGACATGGACTGTGCCAGTGAGTCTACAGCAGGCCCCCCACAGAAACCAGAGGCAGTCAGCCATGATACGACTGCTTCCCACAGAAGCAGGGCTGAAAACAAACAAGGGGTCCGCCTCACATGCTGAGCGCACGGCTTCCCCCCTGGCGGGAAGGCCACGGGAAAGTGGAGGGCCCGATGGGGCGGCACCATCTTCTTCTTCTTCAGGACGGTATTTAGCCAGTGCGCAGTGATGCATCTCTTCCTCTCGCGTATCGCCTACCAAACACAAAGCCGTAAGTTTGCTGCAGGCTGTGTAACTACAAGGCCACATTTTTAGTGACCTCCCATCAGGTGAAAGAATTTCATGACACAGCACAGCACATAACATATGGCACATAAAGTAGCAATGACAATGTCGCTGTTCACTCTTAAAAATCTAAAAATGTTATTATCTATCTATGAGTGAGAACCTCCCTAAGAGGGATCATGCCTGGGCTCATCAAAATTAAAAATTTCCTTTAGCAACACAAGGGCCCTACCTACCACAATGTATAAAGACATAAACACCTAAAACTAACCCAGAAGAAAGCTCATGTTTCTACATTTCAACTACAAAGTAGGGCCAGTCAATGTTCTTCTTTAACGAAGGGTTCTTAAGGGTTGCCCATTACATTCACACGGTGCATCTGCAGACTTTCAGGAAGAGGAAGCCTGAAGCTGCAGGGCAAAGCGGTAGAGCTGGGGAAAAGCCTGTGCTCATGGGTGCAGCCCTTCCAGCCCCTGCCTGCAGTGCACGACAATGCTACAGAATTCCTCTCTTCAGTGTTGCTTTGTGGGGACTGGGAGTTAATTCTTAGTGCCTGGTTTACCTGGAATTTCCTTTTCTATCTCTACTGTTCAAAGACAAGTATGCACAAAAGTATCTAGCCAACAAAACCATACAAAAGTTAACAAGGATGCAAGTACTAGTAGCTCAAGCTACTCAGGAGGTTGAGATCTGAGGATGGTGGTTCAAAGCCAGCCTACTCAAGTGGCAGAGTGTTAGCCTTGAGCAACCAATGTCAGGAACTGCACCCAGCCCTGAGCTCAAAACCCAGGACCAGCACAAGTTAAATAAATAAGGAACTTCATTATTTTCTAAAGTCGAAAAAGTTTTAAGAATGTAAGGCTGAAACAACAATGACCACTTACTCCAAGTCCCAGGCAAGTACTTTCCTTACCTGTGCGTACAGACTACTGACTTGGCTCTCACAGAGAAGATGGGTGCATCGGCTTGTGAACGTGGGATCCACAGTGCCACCGTGTGCCTGGATGATCTATACCAAAGGTCAGAACGGTCATCAATTTCAGCTATCCAGAATACAGAAGAATGGCAACTTCAAATAAGACTTACTAAAAGAACTTATCGCTTTCCCACACAGCCCGTTTCCAGCAAGAAAACCAAAATGTTCTCCTAAACCTGCATCTTCTCCTTCCTGTACTGCTGACATTCTGAACAAGTAACTTCTGTATGGCATAGTGACCAGGCTGCCCAGCGCCCTTAGAAATAGGAGCAATGCCTCTGGGTGTTACCAATGCCCCATGGGGGCAGATTCACTCCCTTTGAAAACCACTGCTTCAGCTGGGCATTGGTAGATCTCATTTACAATCTTAGCTCCTCAGGAAGCTGAGACCTATGGATCTTGGTTTGGATCCAGCCCACAGACAAATCCATGAGACTGCTATCTCTACCCAGCAAAAAGCCCCCACTGGAAGCATGGCTCCAGTGATGCAGTGCCAGCAAAGAAGATGAAGCATAAAACCTTGAGTTCAAATCCCAGTACTGGGGCTTACACGTGTATGTGCACACACACATGCACATGCACACAACACACCACCATACCACCAAACAAATCAGAATTACATGAATAAATAGCAAAACTTTACGTGCAAACAGTTCAGCTGGAAGTGAAGAATGTAGTTGCTAGGCATTAAGCACAAATTAAAATTCAATTCAAACTCCTACACACCAGGAGGGGACTTCACAGGATGTCAGAGCACAGGCCAAAACCCCAAAGCAACCCTGTTCTGCTTTACATACTTTGTCAGAAGTGTTTCTTTTCCTGTAACTACTTACAGATCAGTTGGATGAGGCTGGGACAAGGCCAGCACTCCAGACCCACATGTCCCTGCTCTGTCCCTGTTTTCCTTCCACTGGCCAAACACTGGTGGTGGCTCCTTCAACTCCTGCTTCTCATGGTTGCACATTCACCTTGCTGCCATCTACAGGGGCCCGTAGAAGGAAATCTGCCCACCAGACACACATGTCTGAATATATCTGTATTCCTGGCATGTGACTGGCAGCTGTGTCAGGCCGGTGGAAATCACTGCCTTCAGCTTCTGCCCCAGTCTTGTAGCACTGCACTGTGCTGCCCCACTGTCTCCCAGCACTGCACACTGTGCTGCTCCACTGTCTCCCAGCACTGCACACTGTGCTGCTCCACTGTCTCCCAGCACTGCACGCTGTGCTGCCCCACTGTCTCCCAGCACTGCACACAGTGCTGCCCCACTGTCCT